CGGCCCCCCGGGTCTGCAGCCCAGGGAGACGGGGAGCAAAGGGGAGCAAAGCCGCGGAACACGCGGGCAGTGGACAGCCCAGACACGTCTGGGCTGTCCGCTGCCCACGTGCTCCGCCGCTTTGCTTCCTCTCCCTGGTCTGCTGGAGACCAGGGAGACGGCCCCGTTCGTAACTGCGGATCCGACATAAGTCGGATCCGCGTAACTCGGGGACTGCCTGTACTAACCCCTCTGGCCTCCTAATCCATACCCCTTAAAAAAAAAGAGACATTCATAAAGTAGGTTTTTTCCCCCTTTGAACTTTGCTGTCAAAAATTATTACATTTTAATATTTTGATTAACAAAACAAATAGAAGTCACTACTCACCTTTTCAGATCCATGTAAAAAATCATTCAAAGCCTGAGGATCACTGTAAAACAATATATGAAATTGTTTAAGGAATGTATGACCCCAAAAATGTAATCTGGACAGAAATACATGTCTCTAATAAATATAGTCACATAACTGGGCACCCACTTGCATTCTGACGGGTGGTAATATCAGTTTACTGCTAAGGGATCACTGTGTGGGTTGGGGTTTGGTTTTTTTGATAGTCATTCCCCAGCTGCACAATACTGGTCAGTGGTCAGTTCATAATGCTTCTGCAATGGCCAGTAACTCCTTACATGCCAGGGTGGCCAAACTGTGGCTCATGAGCCGCACGTGGCTCTTTCATAACTAAAATAAAGATCCCCCATTCTCTCAAGGACCTCTGCTTTGCAGAGGAGTAGTGGGGGTAGGGACTTCGACCCCACAGGGCACAGGAGGCAGGCTGAAGCCCAGAGCCCTAACAAATATGCCTGGGCTGTCAAACAGAAGACTGTCATAGGCAGCTTGGAGGGCCACCCCTGTTATATGCACACACTGTACTGTCAGGAGCCACATAAAAGCCATGAGGTTCTTTCATGAAAAGTGTTGCATTGTGGGGTCAATATGCCATTTGGTTTCTCTCTCAGCCTCGTGGGCAGAGTCAGTGTGGATGCATTTTGAATCAAAACAAGCAGGCCCTGTATCTGGAAAGAGGGCTTCTCAAACGTCAATTCACTGCATCCTCCTCCTGACAACAAAAACTGCTACATGATCCCAGGAGGGGAGCCTGAAGCCTGAGCCCATTCGAACCCTGACACCCTGGAGGAGAGGAAGGCCCAAAGCCTAACCCCAAGAGCCCAGCCTGGCCAGCGCACCTATAACCTGACCTCATCCACCTAGTGCTGAAATTGTCAGGCTTCAGCGCGGGTCTCGAGCGGTGGGACTCAGGCTTTGGCTTCAGGCCTAGGACCCGGCAAGTCTAAGCCCACCCTGGTGACCCCATGAAAATGGGTTCACAACGCACTTCGGGGTCCTGGCCCACACTTTAGAACTGCTGTCCTGGAACAGTTTTACAAATGTAACTTTGATGTAAGATTTCAACCGTCTAAAGCTAAATGACCAACAACATGCAAAGCTTTATGCTCTATTTTTATATTACATAAAACAAATATACTCCACAGAAATTTCCCAATTGTAAATGGTAATTTTTCTTTTTGGCCTTCTGTGTCACTAACATATGCTTTTCCGCCTTGCCTGTTATTTCTCAGAGCCCTACCTACCAAGTCATTGACAACAGTTTTATAATCGCATCAATCCCTTTGGAAGATTAGCCTATATTGCAGTGAACAAGCAGTTTGCCAAAACATTAACTGTTCTGAGTTAACCTCAGGCTACAAGCTAACTGATGATGGCATTCACCAGGCACTGCTCCTGACAAGCCCCCGACAACAGTGCGGCGAGACGGACTATAGCCGTTCATTTCTAAGCGGGTGCAGTAGGGAGGTGAAAGGTTATCTGGTAAGCAGCACCCATAGCAGTTCTGGTTAACTGGATCCGCCTCAGACAGGGTGCTCTCACTCTGAGTAGCCTCTGTCTGTGGTGGGTTTAGATGCCCTGCAGGCTGGAGCTATTCTGGTGGAGGCTGGGAGTGGATGGCAGCTCCAGTCCCTGCATGGGGGCTGTGACCAGGCAGTTAGCCCCAGTGTAGGGCTGGGAGCTTAAGGCTTGCAGGCAGGGTCCCCTGCCCAGATCCCTCTTAAATCGGTTAACTGGTTAAACATTAGCTAAACCCAACATTTAACTGATTAACTGGGATTTTACAAGCCTAGTGTGCAGTGCTGAGACACTATCGTTATTGGCACAAAAAACGACAGATTTATCCACATATGCATTAAATGGAACAAATGAAAAGCAGAATGTGAATATTATTTAAGTATTAAACTGTTAGTGTCTATTTCCCTTTAAGAAATCAGCAGTACAAAAAGTTCTTAATTAAACCTACACAAACAAACAAAAATAAGTGCAACAAGACATGAAACCACAAACGTTTCAAACAAGAAAATCAAAGCTGGCTCAGCCAAAAACATACTGCAGCTTAGAAAGTCTTTTAGGCAGACCTAAGACCTATTTCATGATTTCAATACAGAGTTCCAACGGAAACTTTGTCTTTTGAGTTTTGTGGTAATGTTTTTGGTTCATCTAAGAGTGAAATCGAGGGAATACAAGCAGATTAAAGAGAAAGTAAAGGCCGCCAGGGCCTCATGAAGAGACGCTGTTTAGTTTCACAAAGGTTGCTGTAAAATTGTCACAAAATTATTCATGATTATTTATTGCTTGTTTGCAGGTTAGTCTACACGTGATACATTTCAGCAAGGCAGTCGTGTTAGTCTGTTTCAGCAAAAACAACAAGGAGTCCTGGGGCACCTTAAAGACCTACAAATTAGGGCATAAGCTTTCATCAGATGCATGAACTGAAAGACTTAGATGGCAGGAATATATACATACATACAGAGATGGGTGTGTTACATCACGGTTAATAAAGCTAATTCAACCTGGGTGAATGAGGTCGACTTCCAACAGTGACCCCTAGAGTCTGACCATTGGCACCCTTACAGCAGAATTATTTAGCTATATAGACTTTGTCCTCTGGCCCTATGCTACCAGCACTCCCAGCTATCTTCAAGACACCACTGACTTCCTGAGGAAGCAACAATCCACTGGGGATCTTCTAGAATAAACTACCCTGGTCACGCTGGACGTAGCAGCTCTCCACACCAACGTTCCACACAAAGATGGACTACAAGCCATCAGGAACACCAGATGATGTCACTGCACAGTGGGTTGCTGGGCTTTGTCCTCACCCACAACCATTTCAGATTTGGAGATGATTTATACTGGCAAGTCAACAGTACTGCCATGGGTACCCACATGGTCCCACAGCATGGTCCCATAACATTTTTATGGCTGATTTCGAACGTTTCCTCAGCTCTCATGCCCAGTGTCCTTCCTCTATGTGCTCTTCGTCATCTAGACCCACGGGAAGGGGGCCCTTGAATTCCACAGAGATTTCAACAATTTTCACCCCACCACCAAGCTCAGCCTGGACCAGTCCACACAAAAGATCCACTTCCTGAACATGACATTGCAAACACCCCTTATACCGCAAACCTACTGACTGTTCTACTTAGCTACACACTTCAGGCTTTCATCCAGATCACATCACACGATTCATCGTCTACAGCCAAGCCCTAAGATACAACCACATTTGCTCCAATCCCTACATCTACAGGATCTCTATTAAGTGCTCTTAACACTACAGTGCCCACCTGGGAAAGTGAAGAAAGACCGACAGAGCCAGGTGGGTACTCACCAGTCACCTACTACAGGACACAACACAGAAAGTGTTGGCCGTTACCTCCAGCCCCCCAGAAAAAACCTCTCCAGCACATCATCAAGCATCTACAACAAGGGCGGGCAATCATTTTTGATGGGAGGCCACTCCAAGATTTTGGAAAGTGGTCAAGGGCTACACTTTTCTATGGAGGGGGCGTGGGGTCTGAGTCAGAGGTTGGATGCAGAAGGGAACTATGGGTAAGGGATTAGGGCGCAGGAGAGGGTATGGGCTCTGAAATGGAGTTTGGGTGAAGGAGGGAACTGTGATCTGGGGCTGGGGATTGGGGTGCAGGGTAGGGTATGGGTTCAGGAGAGGATTCTGTCCCAGGGGAGGGTGAAGGCGGAGGTGCAGGGTTTGGGAGGGAGGGTGCAGAGGATTTGGGTGGTGACCTAGGGCAGGGAGTTGGGGAGGGGAAGGGGCTGGGGTGCCAGAGGCAGGCTTTGGCTGGGAGGCACTCACCTAAGGAGGCTCCTGGCCAACAGCCTTGAAGAACCCTGAGGCAGATTCCCTGCCTGCTGCAGACCCAGACCACTCAAAGAGGCTGATTGCTCCAGGCACTGGGGGAAGGCTTTGCATGCTGCCCCCATGCCCCCAGTACAGTCTCTCAGCTTCTATTGACTGGTTTTTGGCCAACAGGAGCTGAGAAATTGTGCTGGGGGCAGATGGCAGCCCATGAGGCTTCCCCCTCCTCACAGTGCTGGGAACAGAAAGCCACAGGAAGCAGTCAGCCACTTAAAGTGGCGTGGGACTGCTCTGTGCCTACAAGTCCTGGCAGAATGGCCCACAGGGTGCATCTTACCCACCCTGATCTATAGCCTATCTATCCTAGCTGATGATCCCTCACTTTCACAGACCTCGGGAGGCAGGCCAGCAATGCCCCTCTGCCATGTACATTAGACAAACTGGACTGTCTACACAAAAAAGAGTAAATGGACACAAGTCAGACATCGAGAACAATAACACACACAAACCCGTAGAAAGTACTTTAAGCACTCTAGACACACAGTTTCAGACTTGAAAATTACCACACTTGACCAAACAAATTCAAAACCAGATTGTAACCTGAAACTGCTGAGCTGGAATTCATATGCTAATCTGACACCATCAGAATGGGTTTGAATAAGTATCCTCCCCTTCTTATCACGGTTAGAAATGGGCCACATCCATCCTGAGTTAGCTTCATGAACACTGACATAACACTCCTATCTCTGAGTATGCGTCTGATTTGTAGGTCTGACAAGTGAGCTGCAGCCCAGAAAGCTTATGCCCCAATACATGTGTAACTCTGTAAGGTGCCATTGGACTCCTTGTTTGACCATGGGAGAGGCTCTTTCAGCACATCAGCGAAGGGACAGTCCCTGTCCCAAAGAGTTCATAATCGAAGACAGAGGTTAGGAGAGGGGAATAAGAAGATTCACAATGGAAAGCACAGCAGAAGTGGGCTTCACGAAGGGCCTGGAAAGCAGGCAGTGTAGGGGCTCGGAAGAGGAGCTCAGGGGAGCTGAACCATGCATAGAGAACTGGAAAAAAGCCTGGAGCCAAATGACTGAGAGGAGTGCAAAAGTGAAGCCTCTGGAAATGAACTCTAACTCTAAATAGGAAATCTCAAGTATTTAACACCCCTCATCCCTTAAAATCGTATACACGATGATAAATAGGCATGGGGTCTGTTTCAGTAAGTGGTATACTTACCAAATTACATCTAGCAAGCACCGGCCATCTTCATCATCCATGTCAACTGAAACAAGGGGAGAGGGACTGCATTTAAATCAGGAAAATACAATGACACCACGCAGCAGAAGCTGCGCTCATTGATTACTGCCTTCCACCCTCATCCCCCCAAAAAACCTCAAACAAAAATAACCCCCTGCCCACCCCTTACACACCAACACATTTTGCAACTCAAAAGGTCCGTCCACAGACAGATCCAATGTCTATTTTATCTTGCTTAGGGAAGCTGAGTAATCTGTTAGCTAGATAATTGCTTAGGATGCTCAAAGGTCTTTGCCCTTCAGCACACAGAGCATACATGCACGTGTTATTACATTTCATTCTTATTATGTATGTTGCTGTGCGATCTGAGGCTGGTTGAAAGAGCCTGGTTGTCAGCCTCTGAAGTTTGAAGTCCCCTATTTACCCAAAGTGTGACAGTGACAAGTCAAACTGCAGGCCCACACGCTGCCTTCAGTAACATACCTCAAGCCTCTAACATACTTATAAGGGAACGTATCAGCCTCCATTCAATCTTTAGCTTCCCTGCTGAGACAAGAGAGGAGCAAACAGCTAGTGCCAATTTCTGGCTGCAGTTTTTCTGATGTGGATATTCGTCCACTGGAACCACAAGGAGAGTATATATAGGATGCTAAAGTGCCATCAGTAACTTGCAGACACTACTGATTGAGGGTGCTTTGAAATAGTGAGCTACAAGGGAAAGGCTCCAGCTCCCATCTCTTATCCATTGAGCAGGCCAATTCCTTAGTTATTTATTGCCTCTCTCTTGCACACATCATCAATTAAAACTAATGCTTAGGAGAATATCAGTCCTTTGCTAATGCCTTGAAGCATGAATCCAGAAGCAAATTTACCCCTCCTCCCCACAATAAACAACACTTCATCTTATATGGGCTTCTTCAGAATAGACAGGGCCAAACAAATCCCACTGTTTCACTACTAAATGAAACCCATCATGGGACGTTAACCAAATTAGAACTCAGCTCTTCGGACTGAATATATAGGCCTGGCTTGCTGACATTTGCTATACAAGTAATAGAACTACTTGGCTGTGTTAAAGAGATTAGTGCTGTACCACTCGGATAAAACACCCTATTCCCTAGTTTTAGCACCCCATGTTCTGCATATTAAATCACAATTCTCTCATCTCAGACAATACAGGGGGAAGACTCACACCAGCGACTTCAAAGTCATGGTTTGATCTTCTGCAAGTTCTCAAAAGGATTCACGTAACTTACAGCCAATATGCACAATTGTACTTTATCTCTAGACACCAGAGGGCCACCTCTCAAACAACACCAGCTACAGGACGCATCTGGACATTCCCAGGGTTGTTGAAAGGGGGAAGAAGCAAGGCGGGTTGCACAGAATGGGTGGGCACAATTCTCCATAAAGAAACAAATGAGCTGTCTTGTCTTAAAGGACTTGAAAACTGGTTTGTCAGCTGCAGCTCGACAACAGCTAGAAAACCATTAACTCTCCAGTGCTGACACTCAGCGACAATACAGTCCCCACAACTCTGAAGACTGTATCATTGTCCCCTTCAGAAGCACATGCCTCTTTCATTAATGTTAATGAGCAGTCTTCAGCACACGAGTTCCATATAAAAATCACATTGTCAGAAGTCAAGTTCCTGCTGCGAAAACACTAATTCAAAGGGTTTGGGGTTTTTTTAAACATGAAGAGCATTAAATAAAGGCTACATTGTAGCTCGGGCGGCAAGAAGATGCCATCTACAGAAAGCTGCAGTAGGTACAGTTTGCCCCCCAGATGTTGAAAGCAAACACTGAACCCCTGGTGAGCGATTCTCTTGGTGATCGGTCTTTGCCAGTGTGGCACATGCCAGGGTTTGTGCGAAGGATGCACTAGTGCAGTTGATTAATCGATAAGCAAAAGCCGATTGGTTAATGCTACATATTACATGCATTCTCCCCTCCCTGCCAGTACATTTTTTAGCAGGCTGACCAGCAGCCTGGCTTAGTCCTGGCTTGCGCCAGGTCCGGGACCGACCCCCGCTGCGGCTCTACATTTAAAGCATATTAGGAGCCAGGCGGGCAAGCAGCCTTGCTAAGCTCCGGCTCACGTCAGGTGTGGGAGCTCAGTCCCTCTCCAGACAGGGGCTGCTGCTGTCACCCCACACTGCTGCCTCTCTATCAGAGGCAGCAGCACAGGGCAACAGGCAACCGGTCCGTGAGGGGAGCTGGTTTTCAAACTGGCTCCCCTTGCAGACCAGCTCCAGCCTGATACAGAGGCAGCAGCATGGAGTGGCAGGGGCTCCTGGGAAGTGGGGCCAAAGCACACTGGCTGCCGGCCCCACCCCCCTAGTTTGTGCTAGGGAGGTACCAGAGGCACTGATACCACCACATTGCGAGCCAGTGCCAATGGAGCCCTAGATTCATAGGCTCTTATGCCTCAGACTTAGGACACATTAAGACCTCTTGTGCTGAGCTAGTGCCAGATTTAGGAGGACTGGACTGACTTATTTGAAGGGGATTTGGAGGAAGACAGCCTCAAGCTTATGAGACGGCTCCCTTGTTCTCCCAACAAGACCCTGCTGAGACACCTGGGAGGAGGAAGACTCCTTCACTCCTTGGTACCTTGAGGCAGGAAGCACACTCTTTGCAGAATCAAGATGACAAACGGGGGCTGAGGGTGGTGTCAGGATCCCCCTGACTGAGTTCAACGGGGACTCCATGGCTGTATAAGCAGAGCTGGTGGCCATCAGTGACTGGGAAGGACTGCGGGCAGAAAGCACAAATTTTGAACCCCGGGGTCCTGGACATAGTCCAGCACCCAAATTTGGTATGGAGAACAGGGTGCTCCCAAATCGGGGAGACTAAATAACTTAAAAAAACAACACCACTAAAAGTATCAGCTAAAACCTGTGACGCTCTAAAGCGGAAAGCTGACATACAGAGAACTAAACACAGACTTTCACAAAAGGAAGAAAGTGGAAGCTTCGGACACTGGAGGTTCTGACCCAGACCACGCGGCGGTGAGAGGAACTGGCGATGCAGTCAGACCACCTTGCCCTTTATCTCCTTGGGCAGAGGCATGCAGTGAGTGAGCACACACTGCAGGCCAACAGACACGGCTTTCCAAGCTCTCTGGCTCCTGGCACACGGAATAGGTGCGTACAGACAAGGGAATATACATAGGGACCAGCCCTCAAAGTACATTTCTTCAATCTGAAAGAAAATGTTAAAGTCCTACACTGAAGGCAAAGACTTCTGCTGTTGAAGAAGAACACATGCAGGATAATTTTTCAAGACATTTTCAAAATTATCCTGTGAGTGTCCCTTCGTCACTGTTTATTAGCAGCCAGTGGAAGTCTGAAGAAGAAATGTTTCTGAGATTAAGGACAGCTACAGGAGTAAGGGTATCACATCTGGGTCATTAGCAAACCCGTTTCTCTTTCAAAGGGCGCTGTTTTGTTTGGAGTAGGATTGCTCCCGAACAATGGACTGCTGGGGCTGATTAACGACAAGGAAAGGCAAAGGCACTAATGTAGCAATTGAGAACGACCCATGCACGGAGAGACCCACAGTGCTTGTGTCTTGTTTGGACGGGTCCGAGTCACCAGGCAGCATTTTTGCCCACCTATTCAGAGAGGAGAGCAGTGCGGGCTGAACTCACAGCATTTGGGAAGTTAGACCATGGCCTTGACTCCACCATGCGGCCTTCATCTCCTTCTACCTCCCTAGAATGGCAGTGGAAAAGCAACTGCAAAGTTGCAGTTCTCCAGCCTCCAACATGCATGGCCCAACCCTGCTGCTTCCTCAAGCACACAACACAAAGACATTTTCTCTGGCCCATTTCAAGACACCATTCAAAATTGGCTGATTTAAAACACTCTGTTAATTTGCTCCAGACTATCAGGCAGGCCCACTAGCACCAGACTCCTCTGTTGTGGGTACAAGAACCTTCCCCTCGACAACCTTCCTGTAGTTCTGTAGCTATTACATTCACCGCCTCGTTTAAAATGTCACCAAAAAGCCTAACTTTTCTCTACTGCTGTTACACCATAGCCACCTCCTCCTCCTCCATCATTTAATTTTAATTATATTTTTAGTTCTCTAAAACATTCTGATGATCCTGCTTGTGAGAAAGCCAGTATATAAAATAACACTGTACTGTATTATATACTGCAAGAGGTCTGCAAAACAGTGACTGATACGGTATGCAAAAAAACCCATCATGATTACATCATGTACCAGGAGGGATGGAAAGAAGAAGAAAAGGAGGAGAAATCTCTTTAAAATGTATATAGCCACGGATTATCATCCAATTAAAAAGGTGAACAATTTCATTCTGCTCGGTCACTCTAGTCTAGTGCAAAGCAGTTTTCTGAGCATTTAAGGGTTTCATGAATGAAAATGTTGTTTCTTTTATCACCCTTGCATTCATAAATGAATTTAAGTATGAGGAAAAAAGGACTTCACTAAAGCTTTGCTGGTTTTAAAGGCAAATTCACTGGAAAACACAGGCTCACGTGGAAAGGCCACTACTTTCCACTGAGAATCTATAGATATAGATGTATTTGAGTGTGCATCTATCTGTCAGATTGTTTATTCAAGGACTGCTCCTAAGTGGTAAGATCCAGGGATGCTGAGGACAGTGAGCCCGCAGAGGGGAGATATCCTGCAGAGAGTCCACTGGGAGCAGCCAAACTACCAAAGGTGTGGCCAGCAGGGCTAGGGCTCTGCCATCTAGTAAGTAGCCCCAAGCCCTTTCCCTCCTCCCAGGCCTTGGCAGCAGTGCTGGGTGGGGAGGAAGAAAAAAGGCTGTCTCCCTGTGAGCACCAGCTCCCGCCTGTCCCCTCCCACTCCGAGCTGCGCGAGGGAGGGGGAGAAGGTGCTGCATGTAACCAGCTTATGGGTTAACCCTGGACATGTTTACACTTTCACATCCCTACTGCCTACCAGCTTCTCCACTTCTGGACTGCTGTCACTCCACAGCCATCTGCTGAAGGGTAGGGTGAGGAAGGGCTGCCTGCAACAGAAGTGG